TTGTATAGTGGGAAAGACTATTAATATCTTTTTATCATCATCAAAATCCAAAGTGCTCTTGGGGAGGTAGCAAAAGTAGACCAAACTTTTCAGCCAACTGAAATTTCCTCTAACATCATAAATCTACTGCAATTAGTAAGAAGATCTGTAGAAATGAAATGGCTACTGACTCATTTAAGAAAAAGATTATGAGCCAATCTTACAATTGGGCTTCAGGTACTAAAATTGTCAAAATGTTCTCTCTAAGCAATATATTCAATTATCGGGCTTTCAAATGATACAAGTTTTAAATCAAAGCAAGTCATATGTCTTCTTTCTAGACAGCCATGAAATAAGATATTAATACTTATCTACTTTAAAGGAACATTAAGAAGCTACATTTCAGTAGTATTTTGAGAATCATTAACATGAGCTATTTTAGAAACAGAATACCTCTTTTCAGATAATAGGGAGTGAAGGTAGAGACTGTTGAGCAATAGAAAGGCAGCATTTGGGACTGGGTTCCTGGGACTTGGGATGAAATGAGCAACGTAGTAGGAGGAGAAGAAAGGAGGTGAGAGACAGAAATACCTCCATGTTTTCTCAACTGTGCCAGCAGTGTTCACCTTCCATGTGTTCTCTATAATTCTGTATATTGTAAATGTGCATGATTTTGTATAAAATGTATGGATTTACCAGGTAAATAATATTGTTTTGTATTTAGATGCCTATCAATCATATTACAGTGAATGATTTTTTTTTTTTCAACTTGGGTTGTTATCTTGCTTTGAAGGTTTTTCAGGGATTTATTTTATTATTATTATTTTTTTGCAGTTTTGTTGTTTCTGATTATCATTATATTGGGTCATTGGAAAAGTCATGACATATTTTTGCACAGAAACACACAGAAAATACATCATGACTTTTCCAATGACCCAATACATAATATCTGGTAGCACAAAATCCCCCACCTTGTTCTTCAAAATTGTCTTAGCTATTCCTTGATCTTTGCTTTTCTGTAGCAATTTTAGAATCAGTTCAAGTCACACACACAGCCATGGCTGTCTAGTAGCATGCACACCTTTGACGTTTTTTTACTGATTGAAATTTTTTAAAAGAATTCTCTTAACTTTATTGTCATTTTAATTTTACCAGAGAGAGACAAAGAGAGAAAGAGAGGGAAAGTGAGAAAGAACCAGAGAAAAAAGAAAGTGAAGCCACCAGGTCCAGGACTCGAACCGCAGTCAACCATGTGGGAGTCCGGTGCCCCCAACCACCACACCACCTACCAGCCCCCCTGATTATTTATAAGTTCATTTGACAGGGCCAGCCAATAGCCTAGTGGTTAAGGGAGCTAAATCCCACATGGCTGATAGTCCAGCAAGCCCCCAAATCCTGACAGGATAGAGAAATGAAAGATACTGAGTTGCCATGGGGAGGGGGGTATTTCTCTCTCTGTCTCTGATGTGTGCATTTGCCTTCTTGCAATGAAAGGGAAAGTTCATTTGACAAAGAATTTAAATCTATGATACATGTATTGATGACCTTGATCTACCATATCCATGAATTTAGTGCATCCTTCAGTCATTTAGGGATCTTCAATGCCTATAGTGCTTATATGGTATTTTATAGGTGCTTACAATATTTTGGGAATCTTCCCATTTTAGCATTTCTCTACATTATGACTCTCACATTCATAGCTAGAATCCAAATCTGTATTTCCCAGAAGCCCCTGCTACTTGGATGTCCACTATAACCAACCCACTAGGCAGGTACACCTAGCAGAAGATGGAAGTAGAGATCATAAGGGCCTACAATCTCCTACCAAAATGATTGTGAGGGTATCTTCTTTCTCTCCAGAATCGTAAGCAAACCTCCTGGTCCAGCACTCTTCGACGGCCATGGCTGTCTAGTAGCAGGCACCAGCAGCTCTGAGCTTGCCACTGGGGCCACTTGGTACTGTGGTCATTTTCCCTGCCTTCTGCCTATATGGTTCCTTGTTTCCCACTTAGAACTTTTGCAATTACCTAGTAGTATGGAGCAAATCCTCTTCTATTTAGAGTGGATTCTGCCACTTACAGCTGAACACTGACTGACACAGAATTGTCAACCAGAAGTGGGTGACTGGGTGTGACAGAATCTTAAAAGTGGAACCACTAGTGGGTGTGACTAATATGGTACTAAGGGATCAAACACTACAAAATGAAAAGCAGATGAACTGAGGCTGGCAGGTGGCCTGGTGGTTAAGGGCACTGGACTCTCACGTGGCTGACCACGGTTTGAGTCCCGGACCTGGTGGCTTGCTTTCTCACTACTCCCACCAACCCCCCTCTCTGTCTCTCCTTAGTCAAATTTTTTAAAATAAATAAAATTGGGACCAGCAGTTGGCATAATGGCTATGTCGCTGGACTCCCATGTAGTTGACTGCGGGTCGAGTCTCAGACCCAGTGACTAAAACTCACACCGGGCGCATGTGCATGAGTGCCCAAGATCCCGAGAGGAGAATGGAGGAGAAGGGATTGCAGTGTGGCTATCCCCCCTGGGAGGTGATTTCTCGCTTTCTGTCTCTCTGTTTCTCTGTCTTTCTGGCGAGTGCACATGCCCTATAGCAAAAGTCTCTCCAATAAATAATAAATAAATAAATAAATAAATAAATAAATACAGTTAAATAATTCTTTTAAAAATTTTTTAAAAGAAAGAAAAGCAGATGGGCGAGATGAGATGGCCACAGATCTGGGCCCAAGTGGATTCCATGTGTCTGCTCGTTCTGGCACTAGGTTTAAGGCGCATCCACCTTCTAGAACTTGTCAGTCTCTAGCAGAAGGTAGAAACACAATCAGCTGAGGACTGAGGAGGAGGAGATGGAGGTGTAAGAAGAGAGAAGGAGAAGGGAAGGGAAGGGAGAAGAGGACCCCCACCCCCCCAACAGGCCATGGTCACACTACAATCCCTTCTCCTCCATTGCTCCATCCTTTCGGGTTTGGAGCACGCACACATGCACAATGTCCAGTGAGTTTTTCAGGTCACCAAGGCCAGGATTTAACCCATGGTCAGCCATGTGGGTTCTGGCTCTTTTAATCACTAGGCTACAGGGCTGGGCTATCTTTATTTTGTATCTCTTTAATCTCAGAAGTACTGTGGTGTATTATCTTTTTAATAAGAAAAAAAATATTTCATTATTTCAGCCAACAAGCAAACAGCAAAAAGACAGTCAATGTCCACCCTCCAAGCCACCTGACAGTGGAATCTTCAAGAACACTTTCAGAGGTCACATCCAATCTCTGTCCTTCTCTTCCCAAAATGCCATATTTCACTTGCATTTCTCTCTTCTCTAAACTCTTCTCTCTTCTCTGAACCACCCAAACTACTTTTAGAGGTCTCTCTTGAAGATCCGCTGTGAAAAAAAGGCAGTCTCCTTCAAACCCTTTATCAATATATGCCTCCTACCAGCCCTCCTACCAGGCATTTTCTGTTCAAAGCATGGCTCTCAAAGTCTAGTCCACACTAAAGGCCATCACCACAGACACCAAATTCAGAATTTCTGAGAGGTAGTCCCCAAAACTCTTTTTTTACAAGCAAACCAGATCATTCAGATAAGGTAGAGCCTAAAGATGAAGAACATAAATTTTTTTTTCTAACTGCTATAGTGAAACATCTAGATAGCAAAAGCAACAAAAAGAATGTGAATGGCCTCCTTTATCAATGTCTAGGACTTACATTTACATTGATGCTGTTAAACGCATTAACTCAAGTTATTTTTTCAGTAATTATTTCACATAGTTCTTTAGTCGTAGTGCATAGTGCATAGTTGTAAAGGCTCCTTACCAAGGCCAGTATCATGTACAACCCAAAATTCGACTGCACTTAAATGAATGGCCTCCTTTATCAATGTTGACTTAACATTTACATCGATGCTGTTAAATGCATTAACTCAAGTTATTTTTTCAGTAATTATAAGAGTGTGAATGGCCTCCTTTATCAATGTCTAGGACTTACATTTACGTTGATGCTGTTAAACGCATTAACTCAAGTTATTTTTTCAGTAATTATTTCACATAGTTCTTTAGTCGTAGTGCATAGTGCATAGTTGTAAAGGCTCCTTACCAAGGCCAGTATCATGTACAACCCAAAATTCGACTGCACTTAACCCAACACATGAACCTAGCTGTTGACCCACTGCACAGCCCCTGTATTTATATAGAACAATTCTGGAGGCTTATTCAGATCGATCCCAAGTTGGCTTTACACTGGTGTTCCTATCTCTTTAGTTCTCCTCTAAATTCGTATTTATACTTCACACTACCTAGAGAAAATAAAATGCAGAAGCCAGCGCTCGCAAAGAGAAAAACCAGAATGCCCCTCAAGAAAACTTTACACAATAGATGCAACAGAGATGATTGCTTCTGTGTATATTTATTTAAGAAACAAAACTTTCAAAGAAACACCATGGGGTCAGCTGGATCCCACATGGGCCAACTGTGCAGTTCAAGTCCCAGACCCTGCGGCTTGAAAAACAAACCAGGTTTGTGTGCATACATGCTCACAACCCGGAAAGGCCAAAGGGAGGGAGAAGGGATTACAGCATGACCGTCCCTCATAGGAGTTGACTTCTCATTTTCCATCTCTCACTCTTTCAGTCTCTCTGGTGAGTACATGTACACTCCAGCAAATTTAAAAGAAAAAAAATCTTGATATCAAAAGCAAAATTAAAGGAAAAATATCTCATGGTTAAAGGTATGATTGTACATGATTGTTATCAATACATCCTTTTTTTTTCAAACTGTTTATCTCATATCATCTTTTACATGGACATACGGGATCCTTAGTGACCCATGCCAAAGGCAACAACTTAACAATTTTAATTATATTAATACACCACCTAAAGACCAGCAGGTTAAGGTTAAGGTGCTGGACTCCCACATGCCTAACAGTAGTTTGAGTCCCAGATCTGGCAGCTTAAAAATCATGCCAGATGCATGGGTATGCATGCTCAAAATCACAAGAGAATGGAGAAAGGATTATGGTGTGGCCATCCCCCCTGGAGGGTGATTTCTTGCTTTTCCTCTATCTGGTGAGTGCACATGCCCTATGGCAAAAACCTAAAAGAAAACAAAACAAACAAAAACAACAAAAAAGTACACCGCCCAACCACTGGCCCACCAAGTGACCTGCATTAATTCCTGAAATCCATTGTTGGAAGCTTATTCCAGGTCCCTACTTCCATAGGTCTTGCACACCTCTTGCTGTTTCTCCCAGATTGCTTCTCTCTAATCATGATGGCTTAATACAGGAATTCCCTCATTCCCTCATTCTCAAACTTCCCTAACACAGAAAGTGTCCTTCCAGATCTCTGAACACAAGCAACCCCACAATGTTGACACAGTCACTGCTGTTCAAGCCTGAAAGGGACCAATGTAAGTATTTCCATCTTTTACCCAGAAGACAAAAGAATAGGCTATATAAACAGTTTTTAGATGGGTACAGATTACAATGGAAACAGCTGTAACACTTGTAGGGAAGGGAAAAAGTACAAATGAAAATTAGGTGGGAGACTGCTGGGCATAAGAGATACAGAAGTGCCAAGGTAAGGCTCATGAGTGGTGTGGCGCATTCAGCATAACTGGAGAAGACTTCACAGTGGAAGGAGAACCCTGGAAGACGTGTACTCCTGGGGCCGGTGAAGAAGGTATTCCAGATGCGGGCAGCAGCATGAACAGAGGCCCAGAGGCAGGAATCAGCAGAGTCTGTGGGAAGGTCAGTGAAGGCACGGCCACAGCTGGAGTGGAGCATGACCACTGCAGGGGGACGGGACATAAGGCTGGAGGTAGGCACGGGGGACCGACCAGGGATGGCCCAAGAGCCTTGATGGGCTTCTTTTCCACAGGGTGCAATTTCTGATGCTGAACAAAACTTCCATACCACTTGAAGGCTTTCCCACACACCTTGCATTCATAAGGCTTCTCCCCAGTATGAACTCTCTGATGCTGAATGGAAGCTATTTTCTGGGTGAAGGCTTTGCCACACTCCTTACATTGGTAGGGCTTCTCCCCAGTATGAATTCTCTGATGGACAATATAAAGGGACCTACAACCAAAAGCTTTCCAACATTCCTTACATTTATAGAGTTTCTCCCCCGTGTGTAATCTCCGATGCTGAAGGTAGGCCGCACTCCTACGGAAGGCCTTCCCGCACTCCTTACAATCGTAGGGTTTCTCTCCAGTGTGGATCCTCTGATGCTGAGTCAAGGCGGTGTTAGAGCTCAAACCTTTGCCACACTCCTTACATTCGTAGGGCCCTTTTCCGATGTGGTTTTTCTCGTGGACAATACAGTCATAGCTGGACTTGAAAGCTTTGCCACATTCCTTACACTTAAAGGGCTTTTCCCCAGTATGACTCATCTGATGCCGAATAAGCTTCGAGTTGTATCTGAAGAGTTTCCCACATTCTTTACATTCGTAGAACTTCATTCCACCTCGAAGGATCAGATTCGGATTCAGACTGTAGGTCTGCCTTACCGCCTTGCTGTCAAAGTCAGCGGGCTCAGAGACGTTTCTGAGGAGAGTGCCTGCTGGCATGCCATGGAACTCTGTGCCTTCGGGGGCCTCCTGCTTTACAACTGGCTCTTCACTCTTAATGCAGGACTCAGCCTCTGGCCAAAAAAAGCACAAGTGTTCATAGTTACTGAACTGAAAGGGAACTAGGATCCAGTGGCTCTGATTTTTCTCTTGTAAGGTATGATTTTAAAAATAAACCCAAGGGCCAGCAGTGGCATGTTGGTTAAGGCAGCTGGGTATCACACGGCCAACTGTACAGAGTAAGTTCCAGACCTAGCAGCTTGAAAAACACATTGGGCACATGCCCAAGATCCTGAAAGGAGGGATACATGGAGGAGAAGGATTGTGGTGTTACTATTCCCCATTAGGGAGGAGGGTGTGTTTTCTCATTTTTTCCCTACTCTCTGTCTCTGATGAGTACATATGCCTCCTGACAAGTTTTTAAAAATACATACACATACACACACTCATACACACACACACACACACACACACACACACAGTAGCTATAAGCATCTCTGAAGGAGGATGAGAGAGACAAAATAATAACAATAACAATAACAATAATAATAAAAAATAACGACATATAACTAGTTAAGTAAAGACACTAGAAACAGACTAGGAAAGACAGCCAGGAAATATCTCAATAAGGAAGGCTGGGAGGCACCAGCAGTTAGCATAATGGCTATGTCGCTGGACTCCCATGTAGTCGACCGCGGTTCGAGTGCCAGATCTGGTGGCTTAAACTCACGCTGGGCGTGTGTGCGGGCGTGCCCAAGAGGAGAATGGAGAAAGGAGTGTGGTGTGGCCATCCCCTCTGGGGGATAGTTTCTCGCTTTCTGTCTCTCTGTTTCTCTCTGTCTTTCTGGCGAGTGCATGCGCCCTATAGCAAAAACCTCTCCAAAAAAACAGGAAGGCTGGGAAATGAACTAAGGGAGGTGAAGTGGGAAAAAACACCTGAAGGATAAGAAGGAAAGAAGGGAACCAGAAAAAAAAAAAAGAAAAGAAAAGAAAAAAGAGCGAGAGAGAAGTATCAACAAGAAATGGAAAATGTTTTGTTTTCAGTTGCCAGAGGATGCATGTATTTTCCAGGAAAAGCACCCATGAGGGAATGTGGTCGGGTACAATCTCTTCCTCCATTTCTTTGTTGTACTGGGGTTTGGGACACACGTGCACTACACCCAGAGTGTTTTTAAGTCACGGGGGCCGGGATTCAAACCATGGTTGGCCATGTAGGTTTCGGCTATGGGGCTGGCCCCATGAAATAAAAAAAAAAAATTCTTTTTTTTAAAATAATTATTTAGTTTTATTTATTATTATTATTTTAGAGAAATTTTTGCTATAGGGTGCATGTGCTTGCTGGTGGCTCAGGGGGAGAGAGACAGAGAGACAGAAAGTGAGAAGTCATCCCTGGGGGCGTCTGGCCACATTATAATCCTTCCTCCATTCTCCTCTCAGGATTTTGGGCATGCACGCACATGCACCTGGTGCGTCCAAGCCACTGGGTCCAGGACTCAAACCATGGTCAGCCATGTAGGAACCTAGCACCCTAACCACTACGCTACCTGCTGGCCCCAATTATTATTACTTTTTAAATTTGCTATAGGGTACATGTGCTTACCAGAGACAGAGAGAAAGAGGGAAAGTGAGAAAGCAAGCCACCAGGCCTGAGACTCAAACCATCGTCAGTCATATGGGAGTCTAGCACCTTAACCACTACACCACTGCTGGCCCCAAGAAAAACTATTCGTAAAAGATAGGAAGGTAGAAAAACAGAGACAGAAACAGAGATCCAGAAGAGGAAAGAGACTGGGAAGAGGAGAGGAGGTTCTGCCATTACTGGAGGGTTCATAGGCTTAGAAACACAAACTAGAAAAAAATGGATACCAACGCCCTACCTGTAACTCAGGAAACCACCCAAAATTCTGAATAAGGTCCTCACGATTCTATTTGAAATATTCTACAAAATATCCTATGATAAAGATGATTTCCTTCAGGGCCAGCAAGTGGCATGCATGGTGGTTGAGCTGCTGGATTTCCACATGGCTGAACACGGTTTGAGTCCTGGACCTGGTGGTGGCTTGCTTTCTCACCCCCCGACCCTGCCCCTCTCCCCCTCTGTCTAGTGAGTGCACATTCCCTACAGCAAATTAAATAATAATAATAAAATTAAATTAATCTTTTTAAAAAAATTTATTTCTTCTCTATTTTTTTTTTTAAGAGATTTTTGTTCTAGGGCATGTGCACTCACCAGAAAGAGAGAAAGAGAGAGAGAGAGAGAGAAAGTGAGAAATTACCCTGCGAGGGAGGATAGCCATGATGCAATCCCTTCTCAATTCTCCTCTCAGGATTTTGGGCATGCACCCACATGCGCCTGGTGTGAGTTTTAAGCTGCCAGGTTCGGGACTTAAACAGCAGTCGACTACATGGGAGTCCAGCAACATAACCATTACGCCACCTGCTGCACCCAAAAAAGATGATTTATTTCAGA